TATGCACACTAACAGTAAAGCAGTGTGTAGTATACAGAAACTCCATTTGCTGAAATTTTCATTCAACTTTGCGGAAAATATTTCAGCCATTTATTGTGTTGTTGTGTTGGATTACATTAGACTGTGGGGTGTTACATTACGCTGTGTGTGCGTTATTCTGGCCACCCATTTACATATAACAAACATGCATCTTTCCCACTTCAAAATATGGTCAAAAGAAGTGCAAGCATATCTGAAAGCGCCTGTCCAACCGTTCATAAAAAAAAAAAATACTTAAGATGTACTGAATGAATTAAACATGACTTAGTAATTGACTGTACATTATAAAACAGCAGGAGCAACGGAGGCAGAGTAAGACTAAGAGAGCTGCAGAGAGACTCCAGAGACTAATGAGCTAACTGCAGGGCGTTCTTCCTCATGTGACTGCTGTAATTGGGTCAGTCAATAGCCCTGTGTGGTGCTGCTGCTGCTGCTGTAGAGGAGCTGAGAGTCTGTCTGACAGGCCAGCCCACACCACGCTGACGATTTGGACCACAGTAGCAGCCAGAGAGATTCCTCCACTCACTGTGCAGGTGGAGCCATGATCAGACGCTGGGGGAGGAGTTTAAATAAAGGTCCCATATTTTACACTTTTCCCGTGTTTTATTTGAAGTGTTGAACCATAAGAAGATATTAATGGTCTCAGTGTCGCTAGAGCGCTAGTAACAACAGGTCGGTGAGCCAATCAGAAGAGAGGCTCTGAGTTTGAGAAACTTAGGACGCCATTTTAATAGAAGTCAATCAGCATATGAACTTTTCACTGTTAATAAATTAGCATTTAGCAGTAGCCTTGTCTTGAGGAAGCCTCTGACTGAAACAGGGTAGACTACTGTAGTCTACTACTGAGTCACTGCTGTTATATTTTGGTTTCTAGCATTGTCTTCCGTTTTAAAATTTATACTTTACATATTCATAATGGCAGAGGCTATATTCCAGATACTTTTGTCTTTGTTTTAATATGGAATTTAATTTAAGGCAGCGTTTGAAGGTCTGACAGCTAACCTATGCTGTGCATACACAGCCGTGTGTGTGTGTGTGTGTGTGTGTGTGAGTGTGTACACACTAATGAATGTTTACATCAAATGCTGTCAGGCTGAGTGGGCGTTAACTTCAGACCTAGCGTACATTCCTTTCTAGTTAAGTGTTTGCAGCTCATCTTTTCCATTTCACTGTTTTCACAGTAATTGTGGAGGTTTCTGCAGCAGCTGCTCTAAACCATATCTGTGTATATAAACCGGATGAGAGGGTGAAACCAGAAGAATGTTTAGTGTTGTTTTGGTTGGCTGTAAAGAGGCCGCTGCACTGACAAAGCTCTGCTTTGTTTTACCTGAAAGTAGTTGCATGTGTTTCATTTGTTTATCATGTATATTATTCTGATAGGACTCATTTCTTTTTGTTTTGTCATTGTTGCAGTATTCTCATTTTCTTTTATATTTGGTAAGTTTTTCTTGTTTTTATGAATTAATTATTAATTATTCAGAGAATTCTGAAAAACAGAAAATGTATGCGATCAAATCGACAAATTAAACAGATGACAGGTTTTGTTGTTTGTAGTAATAAATGTCTAGTTCTTGACTCAAGATGAATCCACTGTACAAATAGATTTTAACTTTTTACTCTCATCTTCATGAATCAATTTATGTCTCAGGAAATCCAAAATCAGCTCCCCTGTTTGTCTGCATGAGGACTCACATGTCACCCATATGATACACATATGATTATTAATCATCAGAAGAGATGATCTGTCCAGACAGCAGGACACCACCCCCTCCCTGAATTCATCAGTGACATGAATTAGGAGGAAAACGCTCCGTCTGCAGTATTTACAGGATAATTAGGGTTTGGATTGTTTACCCAACAGGCAGTAATAAGGAGAAACTGGGTCAGTCAATCTGGACAAACAACTTTATTTCTGGTAATGCATCTATACACTGTACATTCAGTCACTGTAGTATATAAGCATAGCTATTTTCAAACATAATCTCATAAAGTCCTTTACTTTACAATATAGTCCGTGTCGTGAGAGAAGGGGACGGGTGTCGTCGGAGGAGAGATGAGGGAAAAAGGCGTGAAAAGATGAGGGAAACAAGGAGATAGATGAATAAGCCAAGCTTTTTTTTCATACTGTATATGTGGTATTAATAAATGGGAAAGCTTACATTTACCTCTTACATAAAAATATTTCTAGAATTGTAAGGTTTATATAGTATTAGCAGCAGCACAGGGCTAAAAAGATACATGAGGATTAGGGGGGAAACAATCTGCAAGTGGCATTGTGTGTGTGTGTGTGTGTGTGTGTGTGTGTGTGCGTGTGTGTGCGTGTGTGTGCACGTGTGTGTGTGTCTGTCTGTGTGTGTATGTGTCTGTGTGTCTGTGTGTGTGTGCGACCCATACTGTAGGTCTGTTATCTGATACTGAACAAACTGTTAAAAATATATATGAACTGGTGAAAAAAGTCATTCAATATAAAGACTCTACAGTAAAAAAAAAATGAAAAGAAATGGATTAACATGTTTATGTAGGGAATATTCTCTTACGCACTGCATCATTAACTGTTTTTGAAACATTTCAGTTAAAACACAAATTCAAAAAAAAAAAAAAAAACAGAAACAAAAACAAGACAAGCTATTGTAAGAAAAGATTTCTTTTTGAAAAAGGAAACACCATGTACATATATTATACAATATTGTAAATGAAAAAAATATTTACATTTGAAAATTCTTATTCAAATCTTCACACTGGCTAGTATTTGTCTATTAATATGGACTGTTATTGCTGCTTTACTGTCCATTATATAGTAAAATGATTCTCCTTTAGAAAACAAGATGTTGTTAAACTGCTTTTTTCTTTTTTACGCGCGGGAGAGTGAAGAGCCAGTGTCGTTGTTGTCTCCCTTCTTTTGTAGAAAACCACGAGTAAAGTAAACTACACAGAGGCTATCAACTCTTTTTGAGTGTAAAAACAACTACAAAATGTACCAATTTTTTAGGTCTGCCAAAGTCACAGACGCAGTGTCAGCCATGGCGGATAAGAAACGGGCTTGTCAACATAATGCCCTCTTTATTATCCTCGACACGTCCGCCTCGGGACAAGTCAGCAAAACTGGGAATAAACAATTAAGTCTTTATGTACAACCCAAAGTAACAATTCACCGAAGCAAGTGGGTTTTCAAGATCTTCTATAAAAATTGTTTGAACATGCATATCATTGATTTCAAATAAAGGAGAAAAAAAAAAAGCACTCATTCAGAAAAAAAAAAAGCCTTAAGCATCTAGCGTTTGTTTAATTGTTCTCTGCATTGAAAAAGAAATTGAGTCTGTAAACTGGTTGGTTTTAGGAACACTGATAAAAACAGCTGCTGAGCTGCTGAACCTGCACACAGGTAGACGATGAGAGGCCCCGCCCCTACAGCTTCATCATCAGTTCTCCTACTCTGGAAACCTTTCGCCCATGTCCAGGCACTTGAGGTTGTCCAGCATTGCATTTTATTTTATTTTTTCTCTCTTTTTTTTTTTTGTCGTCTTTTGCTTTTTGCAAGTGTGAAGTTTTCTTTTTTCTTAAGAACAATATACGGTTTGTTGCATTTTTTTTTTTTTACTTACTTCTTCCTCTTCTAAATAAGACAAATTGCTTTATGTTGCATAACACAATAAAACCCTTACATGTACAGTATCAATGCCCAATAACTGACTATATGTATGGCAAACTTTCTCAAATTTCATGCATAAAGAAAATATGAGTTTTCTATTGAAAAAAAGTGAACATAACAGACAAGCAATAAAATATCTCCACGTTTAAAAACAACATCAACAACCAAAGAAAAATTAGCATTAACACAATGTACATTCTGATTGCATTGTACCCGCTGTGTGACGGCAGAGTCGAGCTCTCCGCCTTCTGAATAAAATCAGATTTTAATCTTCCAACTTTTTGTTCAGAGGCCTGTAAAAAAAAAAAAAAAAAAAATCACCTCGATGATGTGCAGTGTGTTATTAGCGAAGTTTGAACCGGGTGTCATTATATTACAACAACGGGGAGAATTTGTTGCCAGAACCTTTGTAACAATCCCAGACTGCATCAGCAAGCAACAGGTAGAGCCTTTTTTTCTTTCCATTTATTTACAATACTTTGCCTTAAGAAAACAGAGCAACAGCATTTATTCGAGATGCATATAATCAATAAAATGCTTACTGAATTTATATGGTAGCAGTCGTGTATAAGATGATGTTTTCAAAGTAAGATTGAAGACAATAGTGGGAGTACAATGCATTATAACAGTATTTTTGTTATGACAAAGTGCGATTCATTATTGTAAAGTAAAAAAAAAACAAAAAACAAAAACAAAACATATATTTATATTTACATTAATTTAATTAAAATGAACATTTTGTGGTTCTTGCCAAAGTTGCCCCATCCAGTCCACTATGATTTCATACATGATGGTTCTGGTGTCAGCTGGAGTAAAAACAAGGCCACGCACATCTGGAGGATTTTATCTTTAGAAGATAAAGACATCCGGGTTTTGACCCAAATGCTTAAAAACACATATGGCAGCCAGTGTGAGTGTGTGCGTGTGTTTGTGTGTGAGCAACACTTGAGATGGAGATTGCTGGATATTGTTATTGATCATCCGACACAAGTGCTCACTAAAACGGTACAGCATGTTTTTATGTCCAGCGTCCAATCCAGAGAGAGAAGAGTGAGAAAGATTTCGACCCCGCTCTGAGAAATAAATGATTTTTATAAAACAACAGGAGGAGGAAAAGATGGGTCACTCAAGCTCCTCCCCCTCAGTGGACTGCGATGGCTTCCTGAAAAACCGACAAAACCACGGTGGCACTGTGGAGAGTTCATCTGCTTGTTTTGTTCATCTTCTCATTTATTTGTATCTTTTATATTTTCCGACTCCAAGAGCACAGAGAAACAAAGAAACTGTCTTTCTTTTTGTTGTTACAGTTTTTTTTGTTTTGTTTTGTTTTTTTTTTGTTTTTTTTAACATATCGCTATGTAGTCTCTTAAATAGCTTATAATGTCTTCAAAACCCTCCTGGTCCTCATCATCATGGCGAGGGACGGCGATGGAGACGTTTTTGGGAACTGTATGTTAAGTGTGAGCCCTGCTCTTCCTGGACCGTCACAACACCTCTCGACAGCTGTGTAACTCTAATAGAATATGATCATCTTTCAGCATTTATTATCACAGACGTCTGTCCAAAAGTCTCACTTTATTTTCTTATCAGAGAAAATACAGGCACAACCACATTTTGTGCTATACATCTGCTTTTTCTTTCATTCTCGTGATGCCGTCTGAAGTTCTGTGAGTCTGGAAGGTGCCAGTCAGTGCTTGATTCAGAAACACATGCTTCCTTGCTGCACAATTGTATTTTGCTGTTTCCATTCACTTCACTTTTCATGGGCGTGATGGAGGATACAGGTCCTTGTTTCTTCTCTGTCTCTGGTCCGAAGGTGAGAGTCTTGTATTTTTGTGTTCTGGAGGGCGAGCGTGATGGACAGTGGTGCGATGTGGCCGGCCCGGGACTCCTGGGTGCTGGGTTCTCTGGTCTGAGTTGGGCAAATGATGTTGGGGGATCATGGCGACAGGGTTTGAATGATTGGGGAGGTGAGTTCAGCTGCTGGGTTAGTTCTCAGCCAGCATGTCCTTGGGCGTCCCGTCCTTGTCGCTGCTGGATTTGGGCCAGAGTTGCTGCTGTAGCTCCTTCACCACCCTCTCCAGGTGCTCCCTGGCCTCCCGCTCCTGCAGCAGGTCGGCTCGAAGCTGCTCGCGGTCGGCCTCGGCGTGCTGCAGCTTCATCTGGAGGTCCTCGATCTGGAAAACACATGGCAGGAAACAGCTGTCATCATACAGCAGAACAGATCTGACTCCGGACTTAACCAACCACTGAGCCTGTTCTATACAACCATACTGTATATCGCAATATTAGGGCTGGACAGTATGAAGATATTCACTTTTGAATATCACCAAAGCCTGATGTTAACGCTATCCAGCTGCAAACAGAATGCCTTATTCCTGCGCTTCAGAATTCGCACCCTGGTGGTGCAGTTGTCTGGGAGGCCAGCTTCATCAGCGTGGATGTGGTCTGAGTCGGAGTGTCTCTGCCCTCTTGGTCTGGTTTCCAAACCAATTGGGCTTAAACACTGTTTAACAAGTTAACAAATGATATTTCTGTAAAATTAGATTAGAATTACTGTAGAATTTGTATAAATGATAAAATTATCTGCCGTTGGATCCCAGGATTTCCGCGGCTACAAGCAAAACCCAGTGTCAGTTTGAATTTGAATGCAACTGTGTGATCAGAATATAATCACCAAACTATCGTCTTAGTCCAGACAAAGGCCAAAAAAATTTACTTCTATCTATGTTGATACACTTTAGTGCCTTTCAGCAATGCAGTCATGAAACAAAGTTTCTAGATGTTATTTTATATTTCAAGACACAGTCTTAGTATCTGGCATTAAGCTAATGTATTAAAAACAATATTGGGATTTATAGCAGAATGATCTTTGAGAGCGCAATGATACTGGAAGTGTCTGAAAACTTTCCTGTCCTGGGCTGCAGCAACATAAACGCCTAAAACATCTTGTCTTAGTGACAGCCGTCCAAGGACAATTGCAGTCTCTGCAGGGAGGCACACAGATGCAGCTGGAGAGCATAACCTCCCTCTTGTTTTGTCTAATCTGCATTTCCCATGGTGCCTGGGGGAAGTCGACGTCTCTTCCTGTTTCCTTTTGTTGGAGGACTTATCGTACGTCTGTGCACTTGGCGCTACACCCATTTATTTTTGACTGGGGAAGAGGAAATGTGTTTTTTTTCTTGCCTTCTCCTCTGCTGACCTTGAGAGTGTGTGAGAGAGTGAAACACTGCAATTACTCCGAGGGTGTTGTCTAGACGTTCTGCCACCACATTTGCACACATTGTTAGTCTGGTCTGCCTACATGCTTGGCCTTGTTTGGCTTCATTAATACCCTTGTTCCACATTTCTCCAATGTATTATCAAGAGATTTTAATCTTATCTTTAAAGAGTTTAAACCCTAAGTGTGACCAAGGGACAGATTCTTCCAATCCTTCACCCTCACTGACCTGTGCCGAGTATTTTGCGCGAAGACGTCCAGCCTCGCAGCCCTTGTCGCAGACCCTCAGCTGCCGGGCCTGCTCCAGCTCCCGCTTCAGACGGATCCGCGACTCGTTGGCTTCCTTCATCTTCTTCTCGCTCTCGGCTCGCAGGCGCTCGATTTCCTTCCTCAGGTTTCGCTTCGCCTCAGTCGCCTCCCGAAGCTTCTCCTTCTTGGCCACTCGCAAGAACTCCAATTCCTGGGAAGATGAGATTGTAGAGGTTAGCATAGAGGAAAGGCACCTATCTATCTGGGCTTTAAATGGTAAATTGACTGCACTTAAATTGTGCTTTTCCAGTCTTATAGACTTAAAAAATCATCTGTGAACAAGTGTGTGCAGCAAAAGCACTTCACCCTACAGTGCTTTTGCTGCACACACTTGTTCACAGATGATTTTTTTTTAATATAACTTGAATGTATCATTGATAAAATTGTCCTTAAAGTGTCACACGGTGCTTATGCAACCGCTCTCCACACCAGTGGATGCATCTGTCACATGTCTTTTTCACTGTTGACACCCAAGCGAAGGCTGCAGGGTCCATGTCAGTGTTTACATTAAGCCAAGTCAGGGTTTAGGGCAACGTGTGGGCTGACAGAACTTAGGTTTCCTTCCTCTGAATCACTGAGAGAGTGTGAGTGTGAATGTGAGTGTGAGTGTGAGTGTGAGTGTGAGTGTGAGTGCGAGTGCGTTCGTGCGTGCGTGTGTATGTTGTGGTGACACACCCATAGTCTTCTCATGGGAACCCAGCAGTTTGGACAAACATGTCTGTCATCAAGCTTTGTTAGTTCCCTCAAAAAGAGTTAAAAGACACAATCCCATCACACCCTTTACTCTGCTGAGGCTTTACATAAGAACTCAGTGGATACCATCAGGGTTAGCTCAACTCAACACAGCAGGAGTTACACCAGCAGGTTGTTTTAAAGTGAGACCACTGTTCATTCAGCTGGGAGGTCAGCTGCTTGCTTCTGCACACTGATGGAAAGTGAAAGTGGAGTGCTGTCGTGCAGGAATCAGTTTTTCTTTGCTCAGGATGCAGTTTTTGTGTTCCTCACCCACACACACACTCCTTCGTCTGCACTTTCTTGTTCTCGGTCCAAGACCAAAAATAAAAATGGAAGTCTGGCCTTTTCCCTTTGCAGCAACATCCGCTGTCATTGTTATCACTTGCCAACTCATGCTAAGCTTTGCGGACAGTAATAATGACTCCAAATCCACTTCTGCATTTCTATGTTTTTGCTCAAGTAATTTCCTTAGTGCACCAACTCTGAAAAGTTTCTGTCAAGTCTGGTTTCATAAAAAAAAAAAAAAAAAAAAAAGTTGGAGGAAGCATTAGGGTTGTATGAGTTGTCACGGACTGAGAAACCTCATTCTCTCAGCCAACAGTGACACATACCATGGTGCATTCACTGAAATAAAATCATACACTTTGTTGATACAGCCTGTCAGTGTGAGAATAGAAACACTTTATTGTTGGCTGTAGATCACTATGGGTAACACCGGAAACATTTATAAGTCAGTGTTTGTATGATTATCTGTGTGTGCTGTTCAGTTATTGTCCAAATAGACAACAGCTTCTCTATAGAGTTACACTGACACATTTGATAGGTTGGTGGCCTTGAATGACGCGGAGGTTAGTTTAGGTAAAGCAGCTCCTATGTTTGGTATGATAATTGAAAATACATTACAATCCCTTTTTAAATTGGCCTTAAAGCCTTAAAGGTCCCACATTGTATAAAGAGTCAGTATTTGTGCCAAGCTCTACTAACCACATCTTGGACCAAGCTCTGTACTTAACGCGCACGAATGAAGCTGATATCAATGTTACTCGTTTAACATGAGGAAAGATGAACACGCGTCATATTATTCTTGCAGTCACGGGAATGGGAGTGTACCTGTTGGAGGTTGCGTTTGGCCTGCAGGGCCGATCCCAGCTTCTCCTCCTGCTTCACCCTCATCTTAACAATCTCGTGCAGAAACTTCTCCTTTGACTCTTTGGAGTCGAGACCGTTGTCCAGCGCCTGCCTCAGGCTCTCCAGCTCCGACTCCAGCCCCAGCTCTGGAGGGGTGATGGGGGCTGCGACGGGCGCGATGGGTGCAATGGCCGCAGCTGAGGGGACAGTGGCCTCGGCTGACGTGACAGTGCAAATGGGCCCTTGGGCGCATGGCGAGCCCAAGTCCTTGGCTGAGCTGCTGGATGAGGTGAAAGATGGTGACGACAGGGAGGACAGGGACGAAGTGACTGTTGGGAGAGACGACAGACGAGAGACTTGGTTGATCTTTTCAAATCAGGACTTCATTTAGGAAGACAGTTGAGATCTACGGATCTAGTTGCTGGTATTGAGTTCTTTACTTACGTTCGTCCCGGCTCTCCACTTCGATCTCCACCTCAGAGTCCTTGTCATCCTGAGGCAGCGGCAGCTTGCTGGCAGTGAAGGACGGAGGGCAGGGGGCCTCTGATGGCGGCGGCTGGAGCTCCCCTGTGGCTCTTCTCTTTCGAGGCCTGGAGTTTGCTCCTTCACCCGGGGGTTCACCTCCACTTGGGTGGGAGGTGCTGGGTACTGATGGGGACATGGGACCCACCTTCCCCAGGGGTAGTGGTGTGAGGGCAACATTGGGGGCCACACCATTCTCCAGACTCTTGTAGTTGTAGAAGCTGAGAGGAAACCAGACCGTTTAATTGCTCGTCTCATGATGTTTACATGAAATAATCCAAATCAAGACTACTTAATTTACAGGAGCTGCATTCAGGCAAGTAAACACAGCCGGGACCATATTGTATGGACCGATCTGGACAGTCTATGCCAACCAGGGTAGAGAAACATTCAGATAA